GTGACCCTGCTTCGGCAGGAGGGTTGGACTAGATGACCCACAGAGGTCCCTTCCAACCCCTACTATTCTGTGATTCTGTGATTCTGTGATTCTCAAGGGGCTGGTCAGGGATATCTGCTGGGCCGGCTGCGATTCAGTATTGCCATAAGTCTCTGCAGTGCGTGTGAGCATGCTGATGCTGCTCCTTGTACATGCTGCCAGGGCTGCGGGAATCAGGGGGATCCTACATGGCGACCTGGACTGTGCAGGTCCATTTGTCCGAAATATGCTTTACTGCAGCTCCATGCAAAGGGATACAGTTACAGGTGGAGGATGTGCAGGTGCAGGGGGACATCTTCTCAATGGAGAGAGACTTAGACAAGGACACAAGGACTGCAGGATCTGCCCACCACAGGAGGGCTTCATGATGATGTTGAGACAAAAAGGAGTTGTGGTGGCCAGCCCTTTGAAAGGGACCGGTGAGCTTTGGCAGGGCCATGCCAGCTCAGACTCACTTTTGGGGTAGTGCATATGGGCTTTTTTCACAAAAGACTGGAGGAAACTCTCACAACAAGAGATATAAAGTGTTATTTCTGGAGCTCCTGTAAGTGATTCTTCTGCATCACAGGAGGTGACTCCAGCAAATGCCTTCTTCCTCTTCATACCTGCCCTAGCAGGCAGCCCTGTGGAAATACCAGCTGCAGAAACTGGAAGGACAGAGCCTGAGAAGTCATGACGCTTCATTCGGGACATCTGGGGCCACTCTGCCCTGGGGGTGAGACACCACCCATGCATGGATGATGAATCCTCTCCTCGTAGTTCCTCTGCACAGGGACGAAGTCTGTGGGCAGTGCTCAAGCTGGGAAGGCCCCGGGTGGACATGGCTGCCCCTGGAGCAGGGTGCGTGGAGGGAGAGCTTGGGGGAAGCAGATGGCCCAGCAAGGATGACTGGAAAGCCTTGGCATTTGTCAGCTGCCTCACACCTCACACCACGGAAGGGAAACCTTCAGGTCCAGCACAAGCATGGCATAGAAACGCCTGGGATTTTTCCCTTCTCATTCCTGTTTGCGTATGCCTGCAAGCTCTGCCCATGGTGTCATCTCTTCTTGTCAATACACACTTTTATTTGCTTTGTAGCCTGTCCTGGCTGGGAAAAGGAGGTTCCTAGCAGGCGTGAGGCAGGTACCACTTTCAGCACCCAGCCCCAGAGCGGGTGAACACCTCCGAACATCTACTTAACAGAGGCCTGAACATGAGTGGAGACTGTGTGGGACAAGTGAGCTAAACCTGAGGATCAGCTGGGCACCGAGAAAGCCTTGCCGGGCTAATATGTCAGGGAAAATGTGGCAGTTGCAGAGAATAACAAGAAAAGAGCTTGATCAGAAAAATATAAAACATGATCTGTGAGTAACAGCTAAAGGAGCTGGGCAGGGACAGCCCAAAGAAAACTCAAAGGAAACACAATTGTGGTCTTTTACTGTTTAAAAATATGCTGCAAGGAAAGAATAAGCTGTTTTCCTCTACCCCTGGGGAGAGAAGGAGATGTCACAGGCTAAACTGCAGTGAAGGAGAATCAGCCTAGGTGGTACAAACGGTTTCCTACAGCAAATCCTACACCCAGTGGTAAGTGCCCCAGGCCATTTCTGGGAGCACCAGCACCGGGAGCTGCAGGAGCAAGGCAGGCAAGTGCCTGCCAGAACCGGCCAGCCTGGGCCACCCTGAGTGACCTCCTGAGCACCAGGCACAGCCCCTGCTACTGCTGCCCCTCTGCCCGATGGCGTAGGGTCACCCCGCACCTCCCACCGGTGCAGCTCCCCTGGTCCCACCAGCAGCTGGGTTTGGAACAAGCATTGCCGTGACGTGCCACCTCTGCAAGGCAGGGTGCAACGGTGGAAGATGCTGACGGTCACCAGACAAACATGGCTATCATAGAATCATAAAATCATAGGTTGGAAAAGACCTCTAAGATCATCAAGTCCAGTCATGCACCCAACACCACCACGCCTACTAAACCATGTCCCGAAGTGCCACATCTACACGTTTTTTGAACACCTCCAGGGATGGTGACTCTACCACCTCCCTGGGCAGCCTGTTCCAATGTCTGACCACTCTTTCACTAAAGAAATTTTTCCTAATATCTACTCTAAACCTCCCCTGACACAGCTTGAGGCCATTGCCTCTCATCCTATCACTTGTTACTTGGGAGAAGAGACCAACACCCGCCTCACTGCAGCCTCCTTTCAGGTAGTTGTAGAGAGCAAAAAAAAAAGGCACACTGGCCCGTTACCTGGCATGCACTCTAAGCTGTTAGTCCTGCTGGACCACACCGAGTTAGGACCTCCTTGGCAATCACATTTGCAAGCCTTGCTGTGCCACAGCTCCAGTCTCTCATCCTGAAGGGAAGGTGAAAACACAATAATAAATCAACATAGTCATCGACAATAGTGATACAAGGCTAAATCTGAGCCCTGAAGCTTAGACAGGCACTCGCTCCCGCCCAGGCTGCCGCACCTTCTCTGAGCCCCTTCCTTCGTACCAGCCTGGAGTGAAAGGTGGGATGACTCCCCCTTGGACTCAGAGGCCAGAGCACATGCCTGGGTTTGGAGGCCCAGATGCCATCCCTCCTTCAGCTCTGAAACACCAGAGCCAGGCAGTGCCAGACCCCCAGCATTTACCGGGCAGCCAAAGCAGCTGGAGAGACTTACCTCTCCCGGGGAGAGGGCCAGTGCAGCTGGGGTGGTGGGCATGAAGGGAAGAACAGAGAGAGAGAGATCAGAAACGAAGATGCTACCAGCAAAAGTCAGGAAATGCAATGAACATTTACTCCTGAGCTGGGGACAAAAAAATCGAGGAAGGACTGACGAATCTACCACGTTTCCCCACGTTGATTGCCAGCGGAAAGCAAGAGGACGTGGGCAGGAACAGGGCACTGCGCATGCCCATGCCGGTGCTACTCCCCCACTGCGTTTTCAATGCCTTTGGCATCTCCTATTTCTGATCAGATACATCTGAAACATCCTGAGGAGAAACCTATGCCAGCCTCCTTGGCCTCATCTATACAGCTAATTTCTTCCCTATCCCTTCTTACTGTCTTTCTGCCCCAAAATTTCCCTTACCCATTTTGCCCTTAAAATGCGTGAGCTGATGAAGCCCAAGGGTGAAATCCCACCCTGGCACCACTGCAAATCCCTGGTGACTTTAGAGGAGAAGGGACACCCCGTGAGGTGCCTGGCCTGAGATCACTCCCTCTAGATGGGATGGAAGAAAATGAAGTGTAAATTGGTCTTCCAGAGGAAGAGCTTCTATTTTTGTAGCATCTGACCTGCTTCATCTCCTGCCTGTCTCTGAGCAATGGCTTTTTCATGAGCCCTTTCAGCAAGGAAAGGACTCTTCTGCTTCCCAGTGAAGTCCAAAGCAGACTATGTTAACAGCATTTGGACTGGCAGAATAGTGCCCAGCCAACTACGAAAATTAAATAATTTAAAAAAAATAGTCCCGTGACTGCTGGTAACTCATCAGCTCAAGTCAAATGTCTAATGTCATGTTTCCAATAGCAGCAGTAAATCTGCAAGCCACTAAGAACCAAGCTATCAAGCAGGTAAAAACTTGCGTACAGGAGCCATGAAAAATCCGCCATCTCTAAGCAGAGGTATTGTGAACAGGAAAAGAGGAGCTTTTCACCAAACAAATTAGACTCTGAATTACTCACTGAAATCTAGTTATGATTTATTTATTCATACACTGTCACTTTGCTGAGTCTAGGAAGCTCCAGCTAATGCTGGGAATTTACATCTCACATTTCTATAGCAAGTTTCATCTCAAAAGACTCACAAACACTGTGTAATTATAATCAGCTGAAATATAAACTATATACAAAGCTTTGTTCAGTACTGAAATGCGACTGTTCCTTGGGTGTGACACTGAGCCTGAGTGTATTAAAAGTCTGAAAGAAAGACCCCAGCAAAGAACAAAATGATAAAGAAGTTAAAAAAAAGAAAAAATTTCTTTAACAGAGAGATGGTCTCCTTTGCTTCCGTGTCCCTGGGCAGCGTTTCTGGTCAGGAACTTACCGCATTAACCCATGGCATCAGCCCTGGCAGAAGAAGTAAACATCAGTCTACAAAAAAAAGAGGTGGCTTTTAATCAGTCCCAAGAGGGAGGCAGGGGGGCACCCAGACCCCATCGAGCTCAGC